CCTGGCAGTGTTGAGCAATGTCATCCCATGGGTGAGACGCCGCGAGCTGGCCTGGAGACGTGGCAGAAGAAGTCATTGGCCAACGAATTGATCTTCCAACGAACAGCCTAAACTCGTTTCCATTCCTTTCCACAATACCCCATACTTCCATTGAAAGTGCAGTCCGAACCCAACGGGCGGGTACGTCTCAGATCTTTTCACGCTGAACGCACAGAACATATCATGGCACTCGTCAGGAAGACGGAGAAAGTTCTCAGCATGTCCGCGAACTTCATGCAAGTAGCTTTCACAACTTTAGCCGCTTGGATGGATAGAGCGCATCAAATGAACCAAGCAGATCAATTTTGGGGAGTGACAGGCCCACTGTGTGTTTCTACAAAGCACTCCCTTCTATGCAGGTCTCAATGAGACAGGTTTTTGGAGATGACCACAAACTTGCAAGGGAAATTATATAGATCTTTTGGTGGAAAACACATATAGATTTTTGACAAACTTGAGCAGTACAGATCATGCACACATACCGGAGGCCCTTTGAGCTCGATGTAAAACGGTCCGCATGGTAGCGGAGCCGTGAGGGTCATTTGGCGACATCTGACCCGAGCTCCAGCGGACCTTTGCGGCAGGACCCAGACCGCACTAGACTCGGGCCCCAGGGTTTCGCTTCGACCCCGCCGAACAAGCATAAACCAGTGTTGCTTGAGCTCGCAATCAAAGCTTGAGGGTACTTGAAGGTGATCCTTGCCCTTGCTATATCCTGGAGTTGAACAGCGCTGTGAACAAGCTCACAGGTGACCACTCCTTGAGTTCGACGAGATCTCAAAGCCCTTGGCCCTAGAAGGACAGACGAGTGTGGAGATTGAGAATGGACGGGCCTGCAGGTGCTGGTTTTGCAGGACTGGCAACTGCAGAACTGGCTCGCTCAAGCAACTCAGGCTGCACAAGCGGCCACTGCAGGACAAAGCAGTGGTGAAGGATCCTTGCAAGGGAAGAAGGATTTGTCCAGTTGTTACCACGACCTGCCATATTCCATCCTGGGGACAGAGAACAAGAGATTTTGCAATGGAGAGACTGGTATACTGGAGTCTTCGGCAGTATTTTGTAATGGTTGATGGCAGTCTCCAAGATGATTTGACGAAGTTGGAGGACAATTTGTCAGCTGAGGTGGATTGGGAGCTCATGGACTCATGGACAGCAAGGAACAAGAGCGATCGAGGTTTCTCTATTCATTGCTTGGCAGTTTGATTCAGGGGCGGCTTGTTGGCATCATCAAGAATGTGGACAACAAAATTGGCCATGAAGCACTCAGACAGCTCTTGATCAACTGTCAACCGCAGGCTCGAAACCGGACCATAAACCTCCTACAAGGCATAGTGGCCTATCCACGGTTCAACATGAAGCTGTCCATCCTTCCGCAGTTGCTCAAGCTGGAGGAGCACTTCAACCAGTATGAGAGACTTGGAGGAAAGTTGGCAGGTGGCAGCGCTTCTGAAGTCGATTGGAGGACCTTTGAAGACCACCTCAATCTGACTCTCAATCAGAACAGTTCTTACCAGAAGATCAGAGAGACAGCGCTGGCCTACGACACCGCCAACACCAAGTGGAACGAGAGTGCTGCGCTCAGTCGATAGATCCAAATGGTGTGATGCCTTTGGAGATCGACAGGCTGCAGTAAGGGCAAAGGTAAGGCCAAGGGAAACGACTGGAAAAGGTGGCAAGCAAACCACTGGTGGCAAGAGCGATCAGAAGGGCAAAGGTGGAAAGGACTTCAAGGGAAAGGGCAAGAACAGTTCAGATTCAGAAGTATGCAAAGATTTGGAGGATTCGCCAAGTGGAAGCACCAGGAACTCAGACGACCGCTCCATCCAGCCAAGCTTCAGTTTCACAGGTCATTAGCAGCCTCGAGGAGAGTGACAAACTTGAGCAGTACAGATCATGCACACATACCGGAGGCCCCTGTTGAGCTCGAGGTAAAACGGTCCGCAATTTTTCTTTGTTTGATCATGGGCGGGTGAACTTGTCAATTTAGCTTGTGAGTGTGCCTGGGGAAGACACCGAAAAGGAACACAGAATATATCCAGCAAAAACTTCGTTTTTTGTCAGCCGAGGCCAGCTTGGGCTTGATTCCCTTTATGTGTGCCTCGGTCAGCAGGTTTGGGGTGGTTTGACTGGGTTTTACCATGCTGGTTCTGCTCCGAGCTGGACGAAAACTGGTCTGTGGGACACATGCTCATTGAGACAGTGCACACCCCCGTGCTCGTTCGACTGTACAGCGCAGCCACGACGTCTATGATTGCAGCTCCAGGATTCGGGTAATCATTGAACATCCAAGGTTTTGTAAGGTTTTTGCCTGGGAAACCATCTTGACTTGGCAAAAGGATCCAATTCCTACTCATCATACGACATCTTCACTCTTGTTCACCCCATTATCCGATGCCCGCCTCCCAACTCTTTGGGCTTCACTCCGAGCGTACCAAGCGTAGCACTCACGCACGGAAGGGCAGTCGGGGAGCACGGCTCGCATGTTTGAGCGCAGGCTACGAGCACCCGAGCAGTGACCTGTCCGTCCTCAAGTTTCCCAACATCCTTTGTGGCAGCGGCGAACACCAATCCATGCAGGCACGACCGGAGGGAACTCTAGGGATCACTTGGTCTTGGTTGGCCGAAATGCGTAACGGGTCTTGGCAGGTCCTGGGCGCTTTGGTTATGGTGGTGGTGTGTTTGTTCTGCGCCTACTGCCGCTTTGGCCGAGTGAGACGGAGTGAAGACGCGTCTGCCACGAGAGTGATTGAGACACATCGTTCGCACAGCAAGAAGGACCTGAGCCACCGAGAACAACATCCTGAAAAGTCTTGTGTTTGTGTCCATTGCTATTAGGTTGGAGGTTGGAGGCCAGTGCCATTAGGTTGGAGGCCATCGCTATGAATTTGGAGGCCAGTGCTACTAGGTTGGGTGCCATTGCTATTGGGGTGGAGGCCCTTGCTCTTCGGTTGGTGCCATCCGACCGTTCCGACCGTTCCTGCGCGCGTTCCGGGCCGAGGCATGTGGGGCGTCGTCAAGGCGCCGGCCTACTCCGGAAGGAACGAGCTGGCGAAGTTGAACTTTCTCATCAATCGTTTCAGGCGGAGAATCCCAAGGGCCACAAACTGGATGGGAAGCATGAGGCGGTTGTTTTTGAAGGGGGATTCTTCCGGTGTTCCCTTCGCTTCGAAGAGAGTTCTCCGTTCGTGGTGTCCTTCATTGAGGCCTGAGGCCTGGTGGTTCGGCTTGGTTCTTCTCGCCAGGGGCACCGCAGTTGCTCGGCCCCAAAGCCATGGAGCCGGGTGGGGTCGACGGAGGACGTAGCGAGACCTCACCCCCCCAAAAAGGTACAGTATCATGGAAGTGGATTCAAGAACAATTCCTGGAGTGTAGAGAAAACTAGGTCATCCAAAAGGCCGTTTCACCTGCAAACTTGTTTTTGGGAGGGAAGCCACCCCAGACGTCCCTTCAAAACAAGGTGACGGAAGCGATAGTGATGTGGTTTCCGGATTGTGTTGGTTGCAAGAGGTTTCTCGCTTGGTAGATGATCTTAAAGTCTTGAATTACCTTCCTCTTCTCTGACCATGGGTATCAGCTCCAGTATGCCGAGGTCAGTTTGCCGGCAGTCATTGCCGCAAACACTCCGAGTTTACTGGTGATGCTGATGCTGTCGGTCCAGCATCTCTACTTTGGCCTTCTGCTGTGTTTTTTGCCTTGGAAAGCTTCCTGGACTTGTGAACAAGGCCTTCTTTGTGCAGGAAGTTCAGCATGATGAGCCAAGCATGCCCAAGCCGAGTTGAGGCTGCAAAGAAAACAGTTTATGATCTTCAGATGATCCCACTCTTCCTTTCCATGGATGCAGTAGCTGTTAGTTGCTCACGGTTCATGGGCACAAATACAACAGAGTCTTGGCAAAGACCCGATACTGTTCAGCTGTTCCAAATGCCTTTGAGCCCCTTTAGTGCTCAAGACGGACCCTCCCAGAACGCCGCCGCCGCCATCAGGCTCCAATCCTCAACTTGGCGGATTCGATTGCGAGTGGACTGTTGGTGATCTTGTTGGGGTCCTGCCTCCAGGAGCAAGAACATGGGCTCGTGAACGTGGCTTCAGAGCTTCCCTCTGGAAGCCCCATCTCATGCGATCAACTTTGAGCAGGCATAGTCTGTTCTGAGGGTTGCTGGACCTTTGCCTCGAACTGCGTAGTCCCACGGTGTGAAGGCAATCTCAGGAGTTTGCCATGTCTTTTCTCCTGAATACAGTAGGTTGCCTTTACTTTCCGCCACAAGTTCCAGTCGTGTTCATGTAAAAGAGGGGATGCCTCGTCTCATGTTGGCCCTCAAAGCGCGCGAGACACATTCTATAGATATTTTAAGATGGTGTTCCGGATGGTGGGCTGGGCCCAATTTTATAGAAGTGCCATCGCTGGAATTCAGAAGATACCAAGATCCAGCCCCTCGATCCTTCTGTCTCGTAGGATGTTGATCCTTCTGTTGATGTCTCCAATGGCATTCGGATTGCTGTGGCGTTTGGGATCATTGGAACCTTACTGTGCCTAGGCTCAAAGCAGGTCCCTGGCCGAGTAGTTGGACCGGGCGACAGGCCCAGAGGCCCAGAGGCCTTTTTGATCATTTTGAACCTTTGTTCCAGCAAGAGGAGTCTACAAACTCGCGGACATGGACATTCCACGATATTCCGGGTCTTGCAAACCCTTCAAACACAACCGCTTGCCGTTTTCTGGATGAGAGCCTCGTGAAACCCACGCACTGGGACCAGAGCCAGTCCAGTCGGCCTTGATCCATGATCCGGCGATCGGCTCGACTGCGATCGTTGGCCGACGGTAGCCATGTTCCATCTGGACGTTTTCGATCGATACCGACCCTGCTGGAATTTTCTTCGATCCAAAAAGCGGCGTAGAACGAGCAGAAACGACGGCATTCTCCACATCCCTGGCCGCTTTCCGCCGCTGTCCGAGGTTGCTCTTCATGCTGGCCGGCTCGGCCGTGATCCTTGAGCGGGTTTGGGGCATTCCTCAGCACGTGCCCTGAAGCAGCAGTGAGGGCAGGAGGGGGTGCGCAACAGCTGTAAAACCTTAAAAAGCTGGTTTTGCTTAAGGATGCTTCAGGTGCATGCTTTTTTTCCTGGCTCCTCAAGCACAGAACAAAGACGATGGGTGTGATATTCGCCCGCGATGGCCGGTCTGTCTCCGTTCCGATTGTTCACGAAACGACTCGGAGCAGGAAGCTTCCTGCGAAAAAGCATGTGAAAAAGTGAGCTCAAGCATGTGGTTGAGCTCACTATTTCACCTGAGGTGAAACGATTCCCAAAGGAAGCTTCCTGCTCCATGTCGTTTGTTGAACACCGGAGAACTCAGTGCGCCCGGGTGCACTGAACATCATCGATCGGTCGCATGACTGGCAACGCATCACAGCGGATGAAGGGGATCACTTCAGATCACCAGGGTCATCGCTATTAGGTTCGAGGCCATTGTTTCTAGGTTAGTCCATC